AAATTAGCTTGAAAGCCACAAAAAGGCATGAAGGAACTTTAAATACATATTACTAAGTAAAGAAGCCAATCTGAAAAGGATACATACTGCATGATTCCAACCATATGACATTCTGCAATGTCAAATGGCAAAACCATGGAGACAGTAAAAGAATCGGTGGTTACCAGGGATTAGTGGGTGGAAGGGATAAGCAGGCAGATTACAGAAGATTTTTAGTACAGTGAACTATTCTAAATGACATACATGTATAATGATGGATGTGTCATTTTACAGATTTGTAAAAACTCATGGACACCAACAGTAAGAGTCAATCCTAATTTTAAGTAGCAACTTGGGGTGATAATGACGTGCCAATATAGGTTGATCAGCTGTTAAAAAATGCACTCCTCTGGTGCAGGATGTTGATAGTAGGGTAGGCTGAGCAAGTGTAGGGACATAGAATATAAGAAAACACTCTATACTTTTCCTTCAAATTTGCTGTGAACCTAAAAGGGCTCTAAAAAACATAAAGTTTCATATTTTTTAAAAGCAGAGGTAGTAAGACCTAACAATCCATCATAAGCCATTATACAGTATCAAGTGGAAAAACACAGGTATAGTTAGAATTCCAGGCAGAAAGACAAAGTACAAGGCAGAACAGATATTTGAAGACATAATGGGGAAGAATGTTCAAAAAATCACGTAAGATATTAAAACAGGTGTAAAATCAGAGAATTCCCAAGCAGAATACACCAAAATACACAAATTGCTAAAAACCAAAGTTAAAGGGAAAATTCAAAAGGAAGCTGAAGAACAGGACACACCACATACAGATGGACAAAGATTAATATCAGACTTCCGACTGTAAACTATGCAAGTTCAAAGACAATGGAATAACATCTTTAAAGTGCTGAGAGGAAGGAAAAAGTCAACCCTGAATTACAAACCAAGTGATAATCTTTCAAAAAACTGAAAGGAGTGATATCACGGGAAATGGTTGAAGAGAAAAACTTCAAGAATAAGTCTCTCCAATAAAACACTTATAAACTGACAAAAGTAAACTTTTACAGAATTCCTGAATCTAATAAAAATTACAAAGGGAGGGCTGTTTAACAAAGAAAGAAGCTGCAAAATTTGGTGTGTAGGCACTATAGCATCTTCTGCTTACTTGCCTATCATCACCCATTCACTAACTCAACAGTGTTAATGGGGACAGCAGACCAAACTCTTGGTGCAGCTTGCTGGTACCTGTGGGAGCAATATAAACCTTCTTCTCGAAAATGATAGCACTTTAAAGTGCATTTTGAAGAGATTCCCAGGTGGCATCTGTTGAAAGGATTTAAATATATATACTACACATAGCTCTCTGGGGCAAGAGACAGCATATAAGATAAGCAGCAATGTGTAAAGCCTCAGAATAAAGAGTCTAAGGAGGAAGATATGTTAGAGACTATGCGCTTTTAGAGACTCCCATGTATTCTGGAGAATTCAAGGTGCTACATGCATGCCCAAGGCTAAAATCATGGTCAGAGGAGGCCTGAGAGAAGCACAAGCATACACCTCTAACTGATCTTTGAGCTCTGCACAAGCAGAAGATAAGGACTAACGCCAAGCTGCAAGTGCCCAGGCTGTTTATTCCAAAAATATTTCAGTACAGAGCCTATCTGCAAATAGCTACAGAGGGCTTTCATGCCCTTTTTGGCACCAATTCTTTAGGTAAATCTGTCAGGTTACCGGTTTGACCGCCAAGATGAAAAATATTAGTGACCACAAATGACAAGAAAGATAGTCTGGGAAAAAGTAGTTGGGGGGGGGGGCGGAATCACTAAACAAACAGATAACTATAGCTTTTAACAGTGACATCAAATGGCATGGGGGAGGTAAAAAGATGATTCCCAGAGTGAAAACATTTTAATATTCAGAATGTTCATTTTTTTTTTCTAGTTAAACCTCTTTTGGAATCTGTCCAGCAGACTTTCCAGTTTCTGCCAGAAAGTATCCCCTGCCTAAAAATAAAAATTTAAAAACATCATCATGGAAGTAAAAAAAGGCAGTAGGATGACATAACTAAAGTGCCGAAAGAAAAACCATTAGTAAAGAACTATATATCCCGTAAAACCATCCCTCAGTGGAGAAATTAAGACATTCATAGAAAAGCAAGAGCTGAAGGGATTTGACCATACACATGCCCTATAAGAAATGCTAAAGGAAGGCCACGTACGGTGATTCATGCCTATAATCCCAGCACTTTGGGAGGCTGGGGCGGGTGGATCACGTGAGGTCAGGAGCTCAAGACAAACCTAGCCACCATGGTGAAACCCCATCTCCACTAAATATACAAAAATTGGCCAGGTGTGGTGGCAGATGTCTATAATCCCTGCTACTTGGGAAGCTGAGGCAGTAGAATGGTTTGAACTCAGAAGGCGGAAGTTGTAGTCAGCAGAGATTGCGTCACTGCACTCCAACCTGGGCAACAGAGCAAAAGACTCTATCCAAAAAAAAAAAGTGGTGGGGGAGAATATTATAGGCTGAGGCAGGAGGATTGCTGGAGGCCAGGAGTTCGAGACCAGCCCAGGCAACATAGAGAGAAACTCCATTTCTACAAAAAATTTAAAAACTGTCCATGCACAGTAGCTCACACTTATAATCCCGGCACTATGAAAGGCCAAGGCAGGCGAATCACTTGAGGTCAAGAGTCTAAGACCAGACTGGCCAACATGGTGAAGCCCTATCTCTACTTAAAAAAAATAAATAAATAAATTAGCCAGGCATGGTGGTGGACACCTCAAGTCCCAGCTACTCAAGAGGCTGAGGCAGGAGAATCGCTTGAACCCAGGAGGCAGAGGATGCAGTGAGTGAAGATCAATCGTATCATTGCACTCCAGCCTGGGTAACAGAGTGAGACCCTTTCCCTAAATAAATAAATAAAAATTTAAGAAAGGAAAAATAAAATTTTAAAACTAAACAGGTGTGGTGGCACCTACCTGTGGTTGTAGCTACTCTATCTGAGAGGCTAAGGTGGGAGGATCACTTGAGCTCAGGAGGATGAGGCTGCAGTGAGCCATGATTGGGCCACTATACTCCAGCCTGAGTGACAGAGACCCTTGTCTCAGCCCCCACCCAACAACAACAACAAAAAAAGACACTATAGACACCATATAATTGGGGTGAAGGGGTCCGATTCATTTCATCACAAAGATATTTAAAAAATCATAAAGGTATAGACCCTTAACAACAGAATCTCAAAATATATTTCTTTTTAAAAACTAAAGGAAAATATAATATTTTGAGATAAATAAAACAAAATACATGAAAATGTATGCAATGCCGCAAAAGCAGTGCTCAAAAGGAAATATGGCTGTAAAAATCAACATTTTAGAAAAAACTTAAAATAAATGGCCTAATTCTACAACTTAAGAAAAAAAATACAAAGAGTAAACTAAGCCCAAAGGCACCAAACTGAAGAAATTAATCAAAATTAGGGCACACACTAATTATATTACGATTAGAAAAATAATACAATCAATACAACCAAAAGTTTGTTGTTGGAAAAGGTCGACAAAATTAATAAATCTTTAGATAAAATGACTCTTTTTAAAAAAAGAGAGAAGGGGCCAGAGAATATGGTAAACAACGCATGCTAACAAATTTCGTAACATAGTTTAAGTGGACAAATTCCTAGAAAAGCACAAATCATCAAAACTAGCCCAAAAGAAATAAAAAATGTGAACAGAACTATAATGAGACACTGAATCAGTTATCAAAAATTTCCACACAAAGAAAAGCCCAGGACCAGATGGCCTTATTGCCCAATTATACCAAACATGGTTTAAAAAGAATTAACATCAATCTTCCAAAAAAGAAGTAAAAAACTACTATCTAATTCATTCTATGAAGCATTTCTATAATAACAAACTATACAAAAACATTACATCAATATCTCTAATAAACATATATGCAAAAATCCTCAACAGAAACATCAGGGAATCGAAACATACAATGTGTAAAAATAATTCTACATGAGGATCAAGAGGGATTTATCTCAGGTATGCAAGGGTAGTTCAACATTCAAAAATCAATTAATACATCACATCAAGAGCTAAAAAAGAAAAACTACATGATCATATCAAAAGACAAAGAAAAAGCACTTGACAAAATCCAACACCCATTCATAATAAATAATCTCAGTAAATGAGAAATACAGGGGAACACTCTCAACTCAATAAAGAGCATTTCCAAAACACTGCAACTAATATCACATGTAATGGCAAGAAACTCAAGCTTTTCCTGTTAAACCAGGAAAAAAGGCTAGGATGCTATTCTCGACCACTCCTTTTTCACATCACACTGAAAGTCCTGGCTAATGCAATAAGAGAAAGAAAATTTAAGAAGGTACACAGCTTGGGAAAGAAAAAATAAAACTTTATTTCCAGATGACAAAACTGTCTATATAGAAAATCTGAAAGAACTGACAAATGCAAAAT